CCCAGGGGAGGGATCACACAAACACACACACACACACACTTGCCTTTAGCATTGTGCTTTTGCACTTGCTCTTCTCACACACAACCTGCTTCACTCCACGCAGTGGTGTTTGGATTCATGACCCTTGAACGAAAGAGACTTCATGGTCCTCCCCAGATTTAGTCTTCCTTTATTCTACCAACCTTATAGAAATGCCATAGAAAAAAATAAAATATTTTCCAATCTACAGGTATGTCTCACTCTGTTAGGGACTGAATGTTTATGTCTCCCCAAAATTCTTCTGTTGAAGTGCTCACCCACAAGACAATGGTATTAGGAGGGGGAGACTTTGGGAGGTGATTAGGTTTAGAAGAGGCCATGAGGGTGGGGCCCTAATAATGGGATTAGTGCCCTTAGAAGAAAAGATACATAAAGCTTGCTCTCTCTCTCTGCCATGTGAGGACACAGTATGAAGATAGCCATCTACAAGCCAGAAAAAGAACCCTCAACAATACCCTGCCATGCTGGCACCTTAACCTCAGACTTCCTAGCCTCCAGAGCTCGGAGAAATAAATGTCTTTGCTTAAGCCACCAGTCTATGGTGTTTTGTTATAGCAGCCTGAGCTGACTAAGACACAGTCACTGTTGATGTCCCGTCCTTGTTCCCTCCCCTCTGGCTATTGCCACCACAGCCATCTGCTTCTCTCTTCTCTGCTCAAGGGAGGCCTTTTTGGAAGTGGAGGGGGGAGCTAACACCCCCTGAACAGCCCTCAACCAATTGGAAATGGGAGTTGGTGGGTAAATGCCCCAGGCTCTCCTCTCAGCCCCAGGTGGGCAGGTTATGAGGCTTGTTCCAAGACATGTGTCAGAGAGTCCCCAGGGGGATTGAGTCCACAGCAGTAGCCCACTCACTACTCACACGTCTCTCTTTTCCCTTCTCCCCCACTCCCACTTCCTTGTGATCACTCCCAAATAAATTCCCTGCACCCAGGTGCTTACTTCAGGCTCTGCTTTTGTAGAAACCCAACTAAGACAAGAAAGTTCTTCATTAGGAAAAAAAAAAAAAAAAAAAAAAAACTTCACAATGACTACATCTACTTCCATCTTCTCAATCAAATCATTCCAGATAATGGTAGATGACACTGGCTATAACGCCTTTGAAAAATTCCAGGAAAAATAATGGCATTTCTAATACATTCAGAAGAAAAAATTCAAGACCCAAAGTAGAAGCCTTCAAACCAACTCATGTTTGATCAAAGCAAACAGCCTCCTAACCTCTGTTAAATGGGGATTACTTGTAACAAGTGTAAATTCTATGAATAATAAATTAGGAGCTTCTAGCATGTCCCTGGAAATTCCACTAAGTTCTCTATAAATACAAAATAGACATATGTTTTTGAGATACTTCTCATGACTAAAAAAGCCTCTGTGACAATTTCACATCTGTTTCAGGGACTGCTCTTTGAGGATACCTCTCCAATTCTGAATGGAAACTCCCTTAAATTCTTTTCACTGCAATCAGATGGAAATTTCTAAATTCCAAAACCAGTAAACAGTTGCAGGTTCCCTCTCACCACTACTCCCTTTCAAAGGCAACATCTGGACATGGTTCCCTGTACTCTCAGTCCTCTACGTGAAGGCAGTGACCTTCCCATCCTGAGGAGCTCTGCGCCCCACTGGTGAGTCTCACTCAGTGATGGGGGTAGTGGGTGTTGGTGGTGGTGGTAGGAGAACAGAGAGGGCACTGCCTTTTTTATTCCTTTCCTGAGACAAGAGGATGGGCTTAGGGTAAATTTTAATTACCATCTCACATTTGATGAAATCCAAAACCTCCAAAGAAGGTAAAATCCTATTACAACTTCCCTTTTCTTTATTTGAAAAGGAAAACCATTTCTCTGTAATGTACACAGCAAAGTCTACATAACAAAGAGCCTGACAGGGTCTTCAAGCAGGTATATGCTTGTTCATGAAGATTCCCTGCCCAGCCCTCCCTGTGCCCTCTCCCTGCTCTACTTTTCTGGAAAGCATGTGTGCCTATCTATGACCTACCATACATGCCATGTATTTTTCTCATGTTTTCTGTCTCCTGCACTAGAACAGAAGCACCAGAGCACAGGGATTTTGTCTGTTTTGCTCACTGTTGTGTCCCAACAGTGCCTCATAGACAGTTGGTGCCTTCTGCAGGATTATACTGAAATTAGGCAGATTTGGGGCAGGTGGTTTATTTGGGAGATTTTTCCCAGAGAGCAGAAGTAAGGAAATGAGAAGAGTAAGACAAGGAAGGAGGAAAAAACAAGCAAAGATGTCATCAAGGTCATTGCTGAAGGCAAAGAATCTTTGAGAAGTTTCCAGAAGCTTCCAGAACGGTCCAAACAGAGAAGAGACTGGGGTTCCCATTCCCCACTGGTTGAAGATAGTCCTCGTCGCGTTTACTGGTTTCTTGAACAGCACGAGGTTGTTCCCTGGATGGCTGGAATTTCTTTCTCTTTTCTCTACTTTTATAAATGTTCTCTGATGGACACTTATGACTTGCATGAAGTTTACGTTTCATAATACTTAGTAGGTTTCATAATAGTTTATTATCCTAAATATAAATCTACCTTGATTCCCGGTGCTCCTCCTCATCCCTGAGGTCCTCCTAACCAGTCCTCCTCTTCCAGTCTCTCTGCCTTTGGACACATCAACACCAGGCTCATCTTTCTAAAACCCTTCACTCCCTCATCAAAGCATTTCTTCAGGATCGTCTCCCACCACCTCACCCTCGTGGGTCCCACATACCTCAGAATCACCTGGAGGTGTTTGACATCTTGTCTACCTAGTTTCTTCAGCTTCCCCATTATGCTGTCAGCTCTTGCTCATACTGCGTCCCTGGGGCCTGACACAAAGTAAGTGTACAATAAATATGAATTAAGTGGACGGTGGGAAGGTAAGGAAGTTCTAGAGCAGTGGTCTCAAAATGTGGCCAGAGGACCAGCAGCTTCAGCATGTCCAGGGAACTTGTTAGAAATGCAGGTTTGGGGGCGCCACCTCAGACCTGCAGAATCAGGAACTCCGCAGGTGTTTGCACAGGCTTTTAGGTGATTCTGTTGTATAACACGTTTATGTTTCCAGGCACGTCTTGGCCACGGTAACATATAAAACCAGTTTCCCCAACTGGACTACACAAACCTTAGCAGCCTCATGGGAAATCCACTGGAAGGCATTTAATCAGCTTCTCTCCTTCAAAGATGATGCCTCTAGGTTGCAGAAACGCAGGTGCCTCTCGAGATTAGAAAGGGGAGCTGCAACCAGAGGCGTCTGCTGGTCAAACTCCGCGCCCGCCCCCACCCCGACCCCCGCGCAAGCGTCCCCACAGTCCCTCTATCCTGGGAGTTCCAGAGCAGAGTACAGATTACGATTTTTAAAAGAAGACCCTACAAATCTGCATCCGAGACGGATGAGGGAAAGGACGGGGGAGGATTGGCGGGCCCGGGTTCGGGGGGAAACCTTAGCAGCCTCATGGGAAATCCACTGGAAGGCATTTAATCAGCTTCTCTCCTTCAAAGATGATGCCTCTAGGTTGCAGAAACGCAGGTGCCTCTCGAGATTAGAAAGGGGAGCTGCAACCAGAGGCGTCTGCTGGTCAAACTCCGCGCCCGCCCCCACCCCGACCCCCGCGCAAGCGTCCCCACAGTCCCTCTATCCTGGGAGTTCCAGAGCAGAGTACAGATTACGATTTTTAAAAGAAGACCCTACAAATCTGCATCCGAGACGGATGAGGGAAAGGACGGGGGAGGATTGGCGGGCCCGGTTTCGGGGGGATGGCTGGTGATCCCCAGCTCCGGGACTGGGAGGCCTCGGTGCGCGGAGGCGTGAGGGGCATGCTGTGGCTCTGCTCTTCCCCGCGCCTCGGTTGGCCGTAAGATGGGGTTGGCAGTGCCTTTGCAGGGACACGGCGAACTCAAGCACCAGCCTGGGGGCTCCAACCCAAATGGCTTACGGGGGTACAGAACCACTGAGCACTGAGTGGCTCAGGGTCGCCCCGCTCCGGAGCCAGGGGGCGACCGCGCAGGAAAGGGCGCGTAGCAGCCTGGGTGCCTCCCCTCCCTCCTCCGGGCGGCGCGTGAGTGACTAGGGGCGAGGTCCTTGTCTAGAAACCCAGCAGCCGGAGCTCTGTCGGGGACTGGGCCGGGGGCGTGAGCGCGTGTGGGGAAAGTGGGAAAGGCAGAGGCCGCGGCCAACTGGAGCTTGGGGGTGCGGTGGGGAACAAGATCCTAGGGGACTCGCTGGCGCCACTTGGCGACCAGAACCAGCGGACAACACGGGTAGGCGGGAACTTGGCCCGAGAGGAACACAGAGTCCTTTCCCAAACTGGATTCCTCTGAGCGAAGCCAGACGGTGCCATCCTCATTTTACAGGGACATAAAGAGGCCCGGGACGCCAACAGCCAGCTGTGGCCAGAGCCCTGTCACTGACCCAGGAACACTCGCCCTAGGAACCCTAGAAAACTTCGGGAGCTTTTAATGGGGCTGAGAAGGAAGCGAAGAGCCCCGCACTCCGTCCCGAGAGTGAGCCCACACAGGTCGCACGATCAGAGCACCAGGAGACAGGCCGCCACCCTCTCCCTCTCGCAGCTAACCGTGCTGACACCCAGCCCTGCCTACTGTCCCCCGCTTCCTTTGTGGTCCATCCTGTCCCCAAAGCGTACTAAACGCGGGCAGCTCTCTCTCCACCCTGGAGGAGATTCGGGACTCCTAGGTTCCCGCCCTGGAGAGCGCCGCGCTGGGATGGGCAGGGGCGAGGCAGCTGGACGTGGCTGGGGGAGGCCGGACGAGGGGCACCCGCCCGGGAGGGGTTAACCAGACTCCACCGGGCCATTTCTCCCTCTCCCCCAGGAGCCACTTCAAGTGGTTGTCGCCCCTCTGGGCACGTGTCGCTGTCCGTCTGCGTCAGCGCTGGGTAAATAGATGACTGGCCGACAGCGCCGGGCGGGGCTATTTAAGAGGCAGCCTCCAGCCCGCCCACCCTTGAACTTGGCTGGGCGGCTGGGCTGCTGGGCTGCTCCGGTGGACACGCTAAGCCAGTTGCGTCTTCATCCGAAGGTAGGTCCCTCCGCTCGCCGGCAGGGATCCAAGTGTCATGTGTCTCTGAAGAACGCTGTGTTCAGTTTTGTGCCCTTTCCCATTTCGTTTTCCTACTTTGTGTCTTGCCTCCGACAGCTCGGAAGACATTCCTGAAAGTCAGAAATAACGGTGCTGGATCTAAAAATGAGGGCTGAGTGGGGAAAGCTGTGTTAGAGACGTTCACACATCCGCATCATTTTTCTCTTTTGCGTACAATGCTGAAATATCCATTCGCTAGGATTCGCACGCAAATAGGATTTGTTAGCTGTTACAGCGCGATGCGATGCACTCTGCAACCTTTCCATGTAAAATACCACGGGGTTTTACGATTTAAGTTCATTTTCTAAATGCTGAAAAAAAAAAAAATACAGAGCTTTAAGGGCAGAAATGCGCGGGTGTTTTATCAGCTTGCAGATCTAAAATGCAGCAGGGCTTTGGCAACCACTGAGGGCTGGGCGCATATTCTGAATTTTTAAACCCTGCCTATGTTTTGCGTAGTGGTTTGAGGAAACTTTATAGATATGGTTTTTATTTGTTGCTTCTACATTTTAAATTGTGCTCTTCTCTCCCCCCCACCCCCATTTATTTCTGTATCGAAAGCTTCTTAGCTATCTGGAAGGTGCCACCTTTCTTCAAGGGTCTCATTTCTCCTACGGAGTCTTCTCTTTAACATATTTTTCAGACTGTGTTTAATCTCGCGCTTTTCCAGTTAGAAGAGAGACACTCTACAAACGCTGCCTCAAACTTAAGGAAAGCAGAAGGCATTCCTTCTGCTAAACGTGTCAGGAAACAGGGTCTCTACGCCCTGGCACCGGGAGTGGATTACCCAAAGTACGAGCCGGGCGCACCGGGACGCGCGCGCTGTGGCCACTCGGCCGCGGTCCGCGCCTGGCGAGCCCTCGTGCTTGCGCCCGCCTGGCGGGTCTGGAGCGCCCGATTTGATCTGAGCCCGCTTCTGGGTGCCCGACCCTCCGCAGTAGCCCGCGGATGCCAAGGCTTTTCGTTAACGTCCCCTCCCCTTCGCTCTCCACAGCCATGAACAGCGGCGTGTGCCTGTGCGTGCTGATGGCGGTACTGGTGGCGGGCGCCCTGACGCAGCCGGTGCCCCGCGCAGATCCCGCTGGCTCCGGGGTGCAAAGGGCAGGGGAGGCGCCCCGGAGGCAGCTGAGGGCCGTGCAGAGGACGGACGGGGAGCCCCGAGCGCGCCTGGGCGCGCTGCTGGCCAGATACATCCAGCAGGCGCGGAAAGGTAAGGGTGCTGCCTCCCCTCCTTGACTTCGGCCCCTGCTCCGGGCCCCCAGTCCTGAGCCTCTTGTGCAGCGCCCGCCTGACGGAGGTAACCCCCTGGGAGGAAACACAGACTGCACGTTGAGCTAAGTTTTTCACCGTTCTTCCCTGAGTTACACTGCGGCAGACAGTGCAGTGTTCCGGACGTCCTCTGCAGCAAACTGAGAGAGGGTGTGGAATCCTGTTTTTTTAAAAAAAAACTTTCTTTGAACTAATTTTTGGTATGCTGTTGCTGTTTAAGATCAACACCATTTTATGAAGATATTAAAAGATAATTACTGAATCTTCTAGCAGGAGGTGATCAATGCTGAGAATGCTTCAGAAAAAAAAACTTTCTTTGAACTAATTTTTGGTATGCTGTTGCTGTTTAAGATCAACACCATTTTATGAGGATATTAAAAGATAATTACTGAATCTTCTAGCAGGAGGTGATCAATGCTGAGAATGCTTCAGATCTGACAACAGTTTAAAAAGAAATGACCCAACAGGCAAAAAAAAAAAGTGACGATGTGTAGTGGGAGGGAAGAATCAGTCACATTTTTGAGTTTTCCTTGGTAGTGACTTAAAATAATCATGCAGGGAGAGATGTGTTTGTTTTTATTTTGCTGTTGGAGAAATGGTCCCGGTTGCAGTAAGAGCTGAACAAATTACAGTTCTTTCAGCATCTTCCAGGAATAAGGTGATCGTCCCACCCACTAGCTAAGTGGCGTGCAGACAGACCCTTTCGCGGGCCTGACTTTCTCATCTGCAGAGAGAAGATGAGGCTAGAGTTCCCCGAAGCCCCCTCCCACTCTTCATGTACATGAGTCAGAGGGAGGCTCATCTACCTCTTGCGGTCCTTAGGATCATGAATTGACTGGGGCAGTTTTTCCTACCAAGTTTATCCACAGTGACACTGAAGATGAACGGTGGCTGTGCAGCAGTGTGCTAACCTGGACCGACACAGCAGGAGGTTACAGCCATTCAGCAGATGCTGCTGGGAGGGCTGTGGGAGGTGGGCTCCCTTTCCCATGAAGCTCTCTTACCCAGTTGTGTCAGGGCGTGGACCTGAACCTTAACTCATGGCTCGACAGGAGAGGGAGAAAATGGAGGGCTCGGCTCTCCAGAGTCTCCCCTGGTTTCATATGAAGTTGAGACTGGGGTCTTTTGACCAGGGGACTTCAGAAGGAAAAAACGGCAGGTGATTTGTTATTTTTCTTCCTCTCTTTGGGAAATTGCTTCAACTACCAACTTCTGTTTTGCTTTTTGGGTTCCTGCTGTCTGAAAGTAATTTAGTATCTGTCTCCAGATGTGGGTTGAATTTCAACCAGACCAGTCTGAAATATCCTTAGCTTTTCATTGAGCCATAAATCTGGAAACCCCCCTCCCCAACTTTAGGAAAGATCCAAGAGAAACAGTTCTAGGAAGAAAAACATAAATAAAAGCTACTTACCAAATTATTTCCTGGAACTAACACTTGCCAGTGGCTCTTATAGCACAAACATTAGTTAGAAAGCTCTTCCTCAAACCACCCCCCACCCCCTTACCTTTTGCCTTCAGCTTGTGTGTCAATCAAACCCAGGTGAGAACAGCGGTCACTCCGAAATTCAGCTGCCAACACTCAGGAGCAGCACCAGCTAGAAAACAATCATACTCTCCTATCTGACAAATTAAGCCAGGAATAAATATTTACACATATAGATACTGCATGGCTTCCTTGAATATTTTACATATTTTGAGATTAAATCAGATTTTTACTCAACTATAGTATATATTATGCTTAAAGGTTCTAAACAAGAAATGTACTTTTTGAGCAGTACTTAAGAGTTTATCATTAGAAATTGTCTGCAGAGCTTTTAATGGTCTGAGGAGAAGCAATTCTATTGAAGGATGGTGCAGGGAGGCATCTAGTGACATAGTGGCATTTAGTGCACACCTGCTCCATGCCTGGCAAAGCCCCAATGCTACATCTCTCAGTCATCGCAACAGCCCTGCACAGTAAGCATTGTTATGCTCATTTTGTCTGTGCGTAAGCCAGGGCTCTACAAGAGTGAGTAACCTACATGTGTCTGCACATCTGGGAAGCAGCAGGGCTGAGGGTCTAGCCAGGTACTGACCTCCCCGAAGGGTCTGGAAGCCATTCAGCTCCCCAGCTGTACTGCTCATTCTGTGTTTTAATGTTAAAGGAGCCAGGCCCTTCAATTGAATTCTAGGTCCCTCCCCTGTGTCAGGCACTGGGAAAGTGAGTGAGGATCCTGGTAAGTACACATGACGTGAGGACTGAGCTGTGTGTGGGATGGGAAGTTGCGTGTGTAATAACTGCAGCTTCCATGGCTGGACACAGTGCCCCCACCAACAGCTGAGGCTGCTTGCTCACGTTGAAGCTGTCACTCTGCTTCCATTAGATAGAAATTCAGGTTGTGCCCAGCTCTTAGAGTGGACATTCATCATCAGAGCAGGCAGCAGGATGGGTCAGATTTCCACGTGACTGTGTACAGGTAACTGGGTCTTCAGGTTTTGCTGATTTCAAGGACTAATGTTTCACCTGGAAGGTGCTGAACAATTAAACAGCAGGGGCTGATTTTCTCCTGCATAGGCTGGGAATATGTGCAAAAAGGACTGGGATGTGCTGAGTTGACTCTTGGTTCCAAAACTTGAAAGGATGCGGGAGGGGAGAGAAAGGGTAAGGATGTTGTTCTGTGTAGCTGTTTCCTGTTTTTTAATTTAGTTTGCTTAATTTTGTGACACCATAAGACAGAGTAACTGCCTCTGCAGTGTCATTTATCAGTAAAAAAAAGCCACAGTCTGACTCTGCTCCACCTCTGGGCAGGAGTTGGCCAGGGCAGCCTCATGCAGAAGGGCCATATGTCAGCACCACGAGAAGTGGGGACATTGTGCCCCCCAACACCATGGGAACCCTTGAGCATCCTCCTCTCTTCTACTCCTGAATTGGCCTGTACTTTGTCTATTGACATCCCTAAATGGCCTTTCTTAACCATTAGTTTGCGCAGGACAAGGTGTTATATTGATATCATACCCCATGAGGCCACTGTCTATGATCTGTGAGCTAGGACTATGTCACATGCCTCCAAAAAAACCACCTGTCCATGTCCCTGCTCACTCAATGTGAATTATACATGAGGATCATGCTTTCCTAAGGACTCTGCCATCCCAAAGGACCCATTTCAGGTTCAGTTCTTGTTTTTGGTCAAAACAGCTGATTTAAATTACCTCTTTTCCTACCTCTCACTCACACTGTCAGATTCAAGTCTTCCTTGATGGTTGCTGAGCTGCCAAGATTTGAGTCTGACAGTGTGTCTTTTTCTGAATATCATATTTTTAAAAGAATGTACCTTTCAAATTAACAACTTTTAAACAGTATTTATATAGCAATGGGACTTGAGTCCACTTTTTTAACCATTCCAACATCAAGATATTGTAATTGCACTACCTTAATAACAAGAGCCCTCCAGACAGGTAAGATACGTTCGGGAACATTAAGGGGTGAGACCAAGAAATGGGTACATACTGCAGAAGCCGTGGTTGTCTTTTGCTGAGGGCCAACTACACAAGGAAAACACCCTGAGGGGTAGGGAGACAAAGGAAAACCTAGGCAAGTCAGTCTCTGCAAGGCAGGAGGACATGAACCCACCTAAATACTTGCAGAACACAAAACACACCTGTAAGTAGTAAACATTGCCCTCTCTCCAGTTACACAGTCATGGGTCTTTCTTCTCTCCTATAATTTTCTCCAGCAATTCTATTACCTTGATAACTCTTTGATACCTCTAAGAAGGTGTATGTTATATATTTTGTCTAGCTTTTTCCATTGTTCTCCTTCACAAATTGAACTAGTGATGTTCTTATATATAATGCTCCTGTTTCCTTCCTCCCCGCCCCTTGTAGCTCCTTCTGGCCGAATGTCCATCATTAAGAACCTGCAGAGCCTGGATCCCAGCCACAGGATAAGTGACCGGGACTACATGGGCTGGATGGATTTTGGCCGGCGCAGTGCCGAGGAGTATGAGTACCCCTCCTAGGGGACCCGGCCTCCGACAGCCCGCCGGGAAGCAGCCTCCCGATGCAGAGGAGGCAGGATAAGAAAGCAATCGCACTCATAACTTGTCTCTGAAGTTTGACATTTTAAGTATCTATTTATTACGTTTTCAATCTGTAAGATTGTCCAGTGCAACCACACACCTCAGCAAAATTGTGCAAATGGAAGACAAAATGTTTCCTTCATCTGTGATTCCTGGTCCTAAAATGTTGCTATGCTATTAAAGTGATTTCATTCTGCCCCCCATTCTATGTCTACTGAGGGCAAAGGGCTCCTCAAAATGTGTGAGGGAAGCCTGATGTGCAGTGCCCAAGGATGAATCTCTGCAGCAGACAGTTCCAGAAAGGGCTTGAGACATGGGGGTCGGGCGTGGAGCTGACTTCCCTGCTGCAGACAAGGCGGGCAGTGAAAGGGTCTTCTGTGGTCAGCTCGGGCCCAGCCCTGGCTATCCTGATTCCTGATCTCGTCTGCCAGCCCCACCCCACACCAGGTTTCTTTGGGGTTTTCTCAGCCTTTAACTAAGTTACAGGGCAGTGCCAGGCAGTGTGTTTGCATGCGTCTGATCACCCCATAGCCCTGTGACACCAAGGTTATCGTCCTTCCTTTGCAGATAAGGACACAGGCTCTGTGTGTATGACTGGTTCACGTGTCCCAGCTTAGTGCGCCTAGGTTGATGGGACTTCCATCACTCTAGCACTTCTCAACCTCTAGAGTACACAGGAATCACCGGGGAATCTTGTTAAACTGCACATTCTGACTCAGCAAGTCTGGTCCGGGGCCCAAACAAGTTCCCAGGTGATGGCAGTGCTGGTCCCAGCCCACACTTAGAGTGACGATGGTGCAGAGAAGAGTCTATGAATGCTTCCCCCTTGAGCCCCACTGTATTCCAGAGTCAGTGGGCATGTTGGGAGGACTGTGGTAGTTAGCAGACGCTGTCCTCTCATGGGCTGATTGGTTGTTAGTTCTCTGTAGGGATGAGTCAAGGCAACTAGTCCAATGGAACACCCGGAGACGATCTAATACCCACCTCCCACAGTGCCTCTTTTCCATGCCTCCCGGTTGAAGCCTCCAGGAACCTCAGATCCTTGTCCCCCAGAGATCACAGTGGCCCAGTGCAGCAGGACATGGCAACCCAAAAGGGAACAGATGTTGAAGAAAATATTGGCAAATCAATAACTGGTCTCAAAGGGGCCCTCCCTGGCCACCTCTGGCACTCAGCACCATCTTCCTTAGCAGATGCAGGGAAAGTCATTGGAGGGAGCCCCCAGGAAGACTGGGTCAGCACAGTTCTTAACTTGAGCTGACATTAGGATTCAGTGTAAAACAGACTCCAAATAGATGGCACACTTTATTATTCCCTCCTGAGGTCTCTACCTCATTCAGTGCCTACGATTTGGTCTTCAAGACTGCCTCATCTTAGGTATCCAATCCCCATTCAGTCTCAAGTATCAAGATGCCTGTGTTTTTAGCATGTGTGTACACACACACACACACACACACACACTGCCAAAAATATTTTTCATGGGTGTGTGTGGAGGTGTGGGGTTTGGGGTATGTGTGGGGATGAGTGCGTGTGTGTGTGTGTGTGTGTTGTTCATTTGTAGGGGCTGGGGGATTATAAGGGACTTGGAATTTAATATAAAGTCAACAGTGGGGAATGGATGACAGAGGTCCGATCTGAATTAGTGATTTATGAATCAGGGAAGTGGGTGTGAAACTATCATTTTCAAAGGTAGAGTCATGAGTCACACAAGTATAAAATGAACACATGTCAAAGATGTCATTTAACTCATCAATTCCCAAAGGAACTAGTAAGATGTTACAATCATTTCAAAGGAGAATCTGAAGGACAGACGCATATAGGCAATCGGGAATGCTGAAATGAGTTTGCTAACAGACATCAAACTGGCTCATGTCGACAAGTCAATAAAATGTAGTTTGGGGAATAAACTGTTATCCAGAACAGATTGACTTGGGTTTGACGAGCCAAAGGAAAGAATCCTGATCACCCAGGTAGATTTCCAGGTACCTTGAATATTTTTTTCCAGCACCTTCAAACTATTGCTAGTCCTGAAGATAAATAAAGCAGAAGCCAAGCAAAAAGAGAGAAAGCCATTGCTTGCTAATTTCCCCTGGGCTCTGGGTTCTGAAAACATCATTACCAGATATCAAAATGATTTGTGTTTGTCCCTGCTGTGATCTATAACCTCCCAGAGAACGAGATGAGACCCCAGATGAGAGTCCACCCACTCACCACTAGACATTCCTCACCATCCCCAAGGACCTCCCACTGGACAGACCTCCCTCTGGACACTTCATCATCACTCGCATCTCTCTGTCCTCTCTTATCACCACCACCCCCACTCACTCATGACCCTCCAGCCTCACTGCTGTCCTTGCTATGTCTTGAAAACACCAAACTCACTCCTACCTCAGGGCCTTTGCACCTGCTATTCCCACTGCCTGTCTCACTCCCCCTACCCTCCAACCAAAAGCACGGCTTGACCTCTCAGCTCACTCAGCCCCAATATTCCCTGCTCAAAGAGGCTGTCCTGAGCATCCTCTCTAAAAAAGTTCCTCCATTGTTCTCTATCCCCTTCCCTGCTTCCTTTTTCTTCTCATGCTTATCATCACTTGGAATTACATTATACGTCTATCTACTCATTGGTTCTGTCTCACCCACTAGGATGTCAGCTCTGTTAGGACAGGGATTTTTGCCTGTTTAGTTCATTGCTATATTCCCAACCCCTACCACAGTATCTGGCACATGGTAGATTTTCAGTAAGTATTTACTTATGTAATCAATGCATCAATCAATAAGGGAAAAATCTCTCTTGATCCCTGCTACTCAGGTTACAGATTGGTTTTAAAAGCAGTTTTATCAGATTACTTGTTTTAAAAATCAGAGAGGTAAAGCAGACTCAGGGACAAAGCCAAGTCCTTCTGGGATAGGCATAAGGACTAGCAGTTGACAAACAGGCCACTCACACAAAAAGATGGCTGGCAGCATGTGTGCCATCCACGGGGAGGGACAGTACACTCTGAAGTATGCCCCACCCCAAACACACATACACACACACACAAACATACACGTGCATACAAAAACACACACGAATACACACACACACACACACACACACACACACACATGTCCAGTCCTATTTCTTTCACTGTATTTAAAATCCAGAAAGGGTTGGCAATATCAAAGAAGGAAAAAGAAGAGTGTTGATTTTCATTACAATATTAAAGAAGTGGAAACAATCTAAATGTTCCACAGTGAAGGGGTTGTTGAAGAAATAAATGTACATCCAATTAATTAAGCAGTTATTTAAATGATATGTATGAGGACGATGTAGAAACATGGAAAATGACTGTGATTCACATGAAGTGAAGAGGTCCTCTGATCCCATTAAATTCATTTACCAATTAATGGGATTATGTGAAAATAAAGAGAGTCATGTTAGGGTCATAGGATCTCGGGTATTTCCTCCAAACTACCTATAATATTTGTAAATCATCCTTATAACAACTGTATCCCATGTTCTTTAAGCTGTGCCAGTCTGCAGAGAGACACAGAGTCATGAGACAGCCATAGAACTAGTTCTTCCTTTACCAAGGAGACAACCCAATTTCCCCAGATCACTTTGACAATTGCTGAGGTTTGTCACCTGTGTGGCCACCCACAGTGTCCACCATTTTCCTCTCCTTGGCTCCTTCTCACTAAGGCTGTAAAGCCCTCTGGAGATATCACCTTTGCTGGCAGAAATAAGAGCATTCCATCTGCTGTGCCCACCCCCAGGTTCTGGCCCAGCATCTAGAGTCTTCTGGTGCCTTCCATCCTCAGTGTGGGAGCCCCGGCCATAGTGCTACCATTTTGTTCTTGTCGGGTCTCGAGAGCATTCTGTAGGGCCTGGATGCCACGGGAACCTCTCTGATAAGCAGTCATTGTCAAAGACACCAGTTGCCCCAGCCAGGTGACTGTACTGCCACCCCCAGTGTGCAAGTCTTTATCCTGCTCACAAGTTTCCAGAAATATCATTGGCCTCCGAAGGTCACTTGCATGTCTGAAATCTCTGCATTTACCTCGTAAATTGAAAATGATAGCTTGAGTCACATGAGTTGTTCATTCTTTATACCTGGTGGTAACCACTGGACTCAGCAAGGTCGGGATGAGACAGAAGAACCACCAGTTTAGCTTCTGGGATGGAACCTGGGAATACCCTTCTGTTTGAAGACATTATCAGTTCTTTTAGAGCAGGTTTGCTCCTATGAATTCTCTTAGTTTTTCTCCATCTGAGAATGTCTTGATTTCACCTTCATTTCTCAAGGATATTTTTGCTGGATTTAGAATTCTAGGTTAACTATTCTTTCAGTGCTTAAAAAAATACTGTATCACTTCCTAAGGACTCCACCATTTCTGACCCGAAATCTGCAGTCATTAAAATCATTGTTCACCTATAGATAATCAGTCTATTTTTTTTTTTTTTTTGGGCTGCTTTCAAGATTTTCTCTTCATCTTGGGGGGGGCTGCTTTCAAGATTTTCTCTTCATCTTTAGCTTTTAGCAGTTTGATTATGATATACCCATTTTTTGGGCTGCTTTCAAGATTTTCTCTTCATCTTTAGCTTTTAGCAGTTTGATTATGATATACCCAGGTGGGGATTTCTTTGAGTATGTCCTGTTTGGGATTTGTGCGAGTCTTGGATCTGTAAGTTTATATCTTTCACCAAACTTGGGAAATTTTCAACCACTATTTTTTCAAATATTTTTTCAATATCACATTCTTTGTTCTCTCCTTCTGGAATCCTGATAACACCATTGTTAGACTTTTGTTGTTGTCACAGAGGCTCTGTTCATTTTACTTTTTTATTCTTTTCTCTGTGTGTGTGGTTTACATTGGATAATTTCTATTTATCTGTCTTCAAGTTCATTCACTCTTTCCTCTGTCATTTCCATTCTACTAATTAGTCCATCCAGTGAGTTTTTTACCTCGGCCTTTGTATTTGTAAGTTCTCAAATTTCCATTTATATCTTCTATTTCTAAGATTTTCTATTTTAATGTTTGTTTCAAGAATGTTTGTAATTGCTCATCTGAGCACTTTTATTATAGCTGCTTTAAGGTCTTTGTCTGATCATTTCAATATCTATGAAATCTCATCATTGGCATCTGTTGATTGTCCTTTCCAAGGAAAATTGAAGTTTTCGTGGTTCACTGTATACTCAGTAATTTTAGATTGTATCCTGTA